CTTCCTTGTTCCTGGGTCAAGTGTGTTGTGGGCAACCTTGCCCTCTAGAGGTGTGCATCTAATGCACATTAATATTTCCTCTTCCTGGTTCTTCCCAGAACAGGCAGTATATAAAGAGCAGGACTTTCTCCTGGCTCTTCAGAACCATTCTAGAGTTTAGTCAGCAAAGGCAGGATTAGCTAACCTTAGTACTTTTCTGAAGTAAATCTTTAGTCTGTGTTTCTCAGTCCACTGGACTTAAAGCTTTGTGTTTGTGTTTGTCTTGTCTTGTACAAAAACCAGTGTATGATAATAAAGTCTTATTGTGAATAATCATACACTCGACTCACCATCCTTTCCAAGTTCCATTGATCAGGGAGCTAGGGGGGGATAACAGTACCTACACTAGATATACACGAGGTGCACCCCATTCGTTTACTGAAAAACTGGGGCAGAAAATTCGGGTGCGTTGTTTTTACCAATTGCGATTAAATTCCGTAGCTTCTCTTATTCAATTAGAACATTGTTTTGTTACAATATCAGTATCAGATCAAAATCTCTGCTGTATTTTCAGACCAGAAACACTGGAGTACATAGTTTATGCGGCATTAGAATTTTGGGAGGAATATTTAAGGTGTCAGTTTTGCCAGTTCATGGCCCAGGTGGTACTCAGGTAATCACAGCAAGTATGCATAGGAATACACATCTTCCAGTCATTTAGTATGGCAGCTTTAGCAAGGAAGAATCACAAGATGGTGGTCTGCTTTTCATTTGGTATTGTATAATTCACACTTAGACGGATGTCACAAAACTCTTCATGATTCAGGAGTATTGAAGAGTTACTGTATAAGTATATTGAATGCGCCTTACATTTTATATTTCAATGCTGTTTGACTCAGAATAGAATAAATATAATTCAATATCATATTTTTCTTACCTCATGCCCTCAGAGAAATAATTATTGATTCAATATGAAGGTTATCTAATGGAGCTTGCCGAGCTTCTTATTCCAAAAATGTCCTGAGTTGCTCTGTGTCGCACCCAGGGCAATTTTGGGTTGTGAGAAAAAGAATGCATGCGCTGAAAGAAATCTCACAAAGAGGATAAAGTGATGCAGATTTGAATTATTAAAGTGCTTGAGAAGATTTGGTTGACTTGGATAAAGTCAGCTAGACAGAAATCAGTGCTTATGGAATTATTAGAGTGAAGAAGAACACTGTCTTGTCTTCATCTGCTCATGAATTTGCCTATTCCAGCAAGATAAATGATCCATCCTCTTTTCAAAGAGCCCATAGATGTTTTTAAGATTTTATTCATGTACAGGCTGGCTATTCTGCTTCTTATACTGTAATGCCATATTTACTTTAGTGCCATATGCGCACTCAATAAGTGAGATGTGCTCCCAGGTTTTTTAATAAATGCTTTATTCATTTACATGTATCCCAGAGTAACATGTGCACCCAAAATCCAGGGATTCTAAACTTGCAATCTTTTAAAAATAAGAACAGCAAAATTTGAGTTTAGACATGTATTGAACTTAAATTCAACAAATGTTACAATAGTATCCACAAAAATACGTTTTTCTGATAAATTGGTTCAAAATTGTCTATTTGAACCAAATACGCCTCAAATTTTACATCTTTTTGAAAACTGTATTATATACCTGTCTATGATGCACACCCTTTTTCCCTCTCAATTTAAAAAGAAAGGTGCACATGGTACCTGAATAATTATGGTATATTTCTGCTTTGATGACTGCATTGTGGATTGCTCTTTGACTTGAAGAAATAGAGTTACCACAGTTCTGCCCAACATAATAGGGCCTGAAAGTTGGATCCAACCCTCAGAGACCCATCATCCATCCCTTCCATATAATTTCCGATGTTTCAAATGCCATTATTCAAAATATAGTTCATAAGATGAATTTAAAAATGTAAAACGTTTATCCATCCAAGAATAAAGGCAGTGCTATTGATTTAACGCATAGCATTGAATTAAATCTGAACCTTTCCTTTTAATTGAGAAAGTTTAAAATCTGAGAATTTATGAATTGTGGCCCGCAAGGACTCACGTCCACCTCTGCAATGTGGCCTTCATAAAAATATTGTATTAATGTGTTCCTTTGCCACATCTGAATTGGATAACACCATGTTACCGCGTACAGCACACCGTTTTTTTTTTTATAGTTCCAATCAAGCCACGTCATAGTTCTTCCAATTCGAATAACAGATGGTCGTGTGTTACTTTTCGATCTATGTGCAATCCCTTTTTTGCATACATTTTTTCTCAATGGGCTGAAAATTCAAAATAACACACTGGCAGCATTCATGCAAACTTGAACACTTGCCACCGCAGCTCAGACTGATGCGGTTTCGGGCGTTCCATAGCTTATCGCTTGTTCTTCAGTCAACGGTGTTAACTCAAACAATACCTTTCCTGTTTCGTGAAGTCTAGATAACTTGGACGGTTTTATAAATTAAGATAGAGGAAACAAGAGTGCGGGGTAGAAGCAAAGCGACGCGAGGAAATCAAGAGGGACACGCAGAAAATAAAAGACGACAGAAACATGCCTGTTGCTGCTGCATCCAAAATCTTTATGGTGGCCATTGTGAGTATATATGACTGACTGCCTTATTACATCTCGGTATATGGCAGCACTATCTGCTTTCCAAAAACTCCCAATATCCAGCATAAATGCAAGACGTATCGGGTACTTCGAATTTTTGTTTCAGTTGCTTTGTGGAACTGTTAAGGCATTGATGGAAGACCGGGTTTTGACAGAAGATGCAAAATGTGGTGAGGAATCTCTTGAACGCATGGTCAATGTGTTTATTTTTCCTTGAATATAATGATTCAGTATTGGTTGGAGCACTTGATTAAAGCTGAAGTTCTATAGAAATTCTCTCTTTCTCCCAGCCAATGCAGCAAATAATTCACCTATGTTGTTACCCATATCACAAGCTGGGTGGCAGTTGCCCATGTTGGAATACAGGCACTGGGTCAAAATTTTATGGGTGATCAACCATGAAAGAGCCCATGTTGGACTACAGGTGTTTTTACATGTGAATGAGCAGAGCAGGCATATTCTCATTCATTCTTGCTTTGTTGATGGCAAAGGGAGATTCAGGCATCAAATATTGGTATAACACCCACCCAGCAAAAATTTCAGATTGCCGCCTGAGATGGCGGCTATTTTTACGCGTATCCTGGCCGTTTCAGGTGGTGGCCAAACGGTTTTGGCCAAACAGTAGGGATCTGTTTTCCTGACGCGGTCAGGATGGCGTAAAAAACGTTTTTAGTTGACGCTTTTGAAAGCGTCAGAGTCTGACGCTTTTAAAAGCGTTTTTAACCTAGTCCAAAACGTTTTTCCATGACGCTTTTGAAAGCGTCAGAGGCTGACGCTTTCAAAAGCGTTTCTTACGCTGTTAAAAACGTTTTTCC